GATTAAAAAAATTGTGGTTGAAAATGAGAGGAAGCCCCTCTATTTATAATCAACAAAGGATAGTATGAGCAAGTATTTTTTGTGTCTTATATGAAAAGTCATGACCTTTCCAAGAAGTCACAACCCTTTGAAAAAGTCACAACTATTTGGAAAAGTCACAACTCTTTGGAAAAGCCACAACTTATAGAAAAATCACAACCCTTTGAAAAAAGTCATAACTTATCAGAAAAGTCACAACTCATCGAAAAAGTCACAACGTAAGTTAGAGATATATGAATTTATACTACAATAAAAATTAAACCAATAAAAACTTCAACTGGCGTTATTATAAGTCTTATGAACTTTTATTCATTGGAAATACTGAAATATTAAGAAATAGTAAATCAGTAAAATAAAAAAGCAATGTTTATATAGTAATAGCTATTTTGAAACAAACTTCCTGACAATCTAAATCTCATAAGTAGCATTGATAAATAAAGTCATTCTCTAGTCTTGGGCATAAGAAAAACAAATTGTGACAATTCTCTAACTCTTGAGAAGTTGAATAATTTTGGAAAAGGATATTCAGAAGCATATATCTACATTACAAGAGAAATTGTTAGCAAAAGCAAATGAATTTAGACTACAATAAAAATTAAACTAATGCAAACTTCAACTGGCGTTATTACAACTCATATAAACTTTTCTTTGTCGAAAATACTTAAATATTAAGAAATAGTAAATCAATAAAATAAAAAGGGCAATGTTTATATAGTAATAATTATTGAAGCAAATAACCTGACAATCTAAATCACATAAGTAGCATTGATAAATAAAGCCATTCTTTTGTCTTGAGAATCAAAAAAAATCGTGACAATTCTCTTAATCTTGAGAAGTTTAATAATTTTTAAAAAAGATCTTCAGAAGAATATATCTATATCACAAGAGAAATTGTTAACAAAAACAAATGAATTTAGGCTACATCATGTTAACTTCATATTTTGGAACATTACATACTACTGTATATACTAAGAAAACAAAATATTACATCATCAAAATTATTTTCCTCAAGTACCCAAGGTTAAGGAATATACCCTCTTAGGATAGAACAATTTACTTTATCAGAATAGTGGTACCTCATATTCCGCTAAAGTTCGAACTCACTCAACGACAATAAATCACACTAAATTTTTTAAAATGCAAGAAGAAGATTAGAAGATTAAAAAAAATTGTGGTTGAAAAATGAGAGGAAACTCTTCTATTTATAGTCAACAAAGGGTAGTATGAGCAAGTGTTTTTTATGTCTTATCTGAAAAGTCATGGCCGTTCCAAGAAGTCACAACCCTTTGGAAAAGTCACTACTTATTAAAAAAGGTCACAACTTTTTGAAAAAGTCACAACTCTTTGGAAAAGTCACAACTCATCGAAAAAGTCACAACCTAAGCTAGAAATATTATAGTAATTTAACATTCAAGTTAAGAGTTCATACTTTTAGCTATTTTCACCATATTGTTTCTTGTCATTAGCTTCACCAATTGATGCTTTCAAATAATCAAAAAAATTAAGGGAAGATTTGCACTCTGTTATTTCAATTAACATAACACGTATTTTATAAATTATTCCAAACTTATTGATCTTAAGTAGTTCTCTTTAGATAATATGTTAGGTATATGTCAATTAAATTTCAGGCTTTTGAAACTGAAATTTTGTTTGATTTGTCAAATGATTTATCTTTATAGTGCAAGGGGCATAAGTTGTTTAGGTGAAGAATTAATTGAAGAGAAAAATATAAATATATATAGACGGTGAGTTCCTCCATCTTTTCTCTTTATCATTCATTTTCTTGTAACTCTCTTCCTTACTTTTGTTGAAAAAATATTTGTTATAATTATAAATGCATAGAAACAAGTTAATTTTGAGCAAGTTTGATTTGTATTCAGTTTTGCTTCCTCTCACCATGCATAATATTTTCATCACAATATTATATTTTTATTTTTCTTTATTTCCTCCGCTCATTATATTTGTGTGTTTGTGAGTTGTTTGTGGGCGTAAGTATACAATAAATAGATTAGACTCCTATTTATTTCAAGCTTGTCTTTAAAAAAAAATTGTGTTATTCATCACACATTTTGTTATTAGTTATGTTATTTTTAAAAGTTAATATTGCATAATATGGGAGTCACACGTGCCCATATATTCAGTCAGTTAATATAAAAAAACTATAAAATATTATATATCTACTTACTAGTACTAGTTTTTTGACACGTGCACGTTGTCCGTGATTACCAATTCAGAAAATATATGTTATAGTAAATAGTATTGCTTATTTAGGGGAAGATTTGAATACTAAGCTTTGTACAAAATCATATTGCAGATTCTTTTGTGAATGATCAATGTGGATCATCATTTATATCTCTTATTCACGCGAACCTATGAAGATCGTCAATAAAAAAATTTATTAGTTAAATGCAATAATGTATATATTTATTTCAATTTGATGAAGTTCAATCATTTAATTAGTCGTATCTCACTATTATTACCTTATAGACTATATTTGTTGTGTATTTTTCTTGTCATCTAACAAGATATGCTTTGCACGTGTATTTCACGTTAAACTGTTTAGATGTCATGAACATGTGAAGAGAACAACTACATTTTATCTTTTAGACTATTTTTTATATTAATTTTTATTTTATAAGTTATAACATAATAGATGACGTTCTTTTTGTTGGCTCTCATATTTGACTTTTCGATTGACTGTGTACATAAGTCAAAGATTGTTAATGATGTACACCGTTTGAGTACAAATTTTGTCTTAAATATTCGTACTTGAAATTTAGTATGCGCATGACACTAATAAGGATTACCATAAGTATTTCAATATTTTATCTTTATATGTAACA